TGTTTGTTTTGGAATCTATAATGTTATTGGGAAGAAACTGCAGTTGAACTAAACTTGTGTCCTTGCAGAGTTGCCCAAAAGAGAGAAGATGCTGTTTCCAAAGAAGTTACTCGCAAACTTTCTGAGGCAGACAATAGGAAGATGTCTCGTAAAGAGAAGGATGAGAGGTAATAATTTTTTATTCTCATTGTAATATTTTTTATAATTTTTATATGGATAGGATCCTAATATTAAAGTCCCTTGATAGAATAGTTGGCATGACTTAAGACATCTGTCGTCAGTGGGAACTCTGTAGTTGAGGAATCCATGGTGAAGCCCTTTGACTTGAGGCAGGGTTAATAGAAAGTCTGTCTTTGGAACCTTTAATCAAGAAGGGATAAGAATTGCCACGTCTGACTGTCTTTGGAACATAAAAATTCAGCTTTTCACAAAAGTCTTCCTATAACTGAATCTAAACAATAGATTTTTTTTTAAAGAACATGTTTATTAGTGTTGAAGATTAGATCATTTATGAACAAATAGAGTAGACCTTGGATTTGTATTGAATGACTAAGAAATTTAGTGATGGGTATATTAGGAATACTTAAATGCAGATGAATACTTCTGAAAATTGAACCATCAGATTTTTAGAGTAAGAGCTATGTTTTCCTTTGGGTTGACACTATGGGCACTGTACCTGCAAAATGAGTATTCATCTCAATCTAGTAATAAAAGTTTAATTTTTAACAACTGTTGGACTTGGATTCTTGAAAAACACAATGACCTTAAGTATGTACATGTGTATTCAATATATATTAGGTTAGTATTCCTGTATCTAGCTTGTGAGGCCTTAGGTAGCATAACTGCATTCTCTTTTGTAGAAGCATCTTTAAAACAGTGAGCCTAGCTGTATATGTACTACTCGCCAGGGAATGTCTCTGTATAGATAATAAATTTGTTTATTTGTAATTGAACAGTTCCCTTGTGGTTTCTTCATGTTCTTTTAGGTAAAGAGAGACAATGTTTAACGGCATTGCCTGTCTCTGATTTGTATTAATTTATCAGCAACAGTAATGAAATAGTCCTGTTATGACTTTTAATGGTTAGTAACTTTGTTATGATGAAAGGTTCTTAGAGAGGTTTCAGTGTGGCATAAAAGGAGCCATCTCCCTGTGACGGAAGTGATGTTAGCATACAGATTTGCATTAGCCTAGAAATGTTTAATTTATTTGCATTTATACATAGAATTCTGTGGAAGAAAAACGAAGTTGCAGATTATGAAGCAACAACATTTTCTATCTTCTGTAAT